AAAGTTTTGATTTTATACAATTTAAAAGACATATTTTTTTTAACATAATAATATATAAGTTGGCTCACTCACATAGTAATATTCACTTCAGACCACCAATAATATACCCCTAATTATTTTAATGAAATTTCAAGTCAGGTAGATATATTTTAATTTTAAAGAATTTGTAATACACATTCTGATGGGTATGGTTAACATTTTAAGTTGTTAAATTAGCCCATCCGAGTTATTTTTAATGGTCAAAATCAATACTGTTGGTTTTTGGTTATTTGCAAACAATATTTTTGAATTATTCAATTACACATCCATTCAGACTCTAACCGTGAACTTAGTCTACCCAAGTTAATCGAAGTCGGTACAAAACAATTCATATTAATTTTGCAAGAATTTGAAATTTTGTTGTTGGCATCCGCTTCTTACTCAGATGACCACAGTGAGCATTTTAGTTTCCAAATCCAAAATTTGCATTTATGAATACAATAAGGGGAAGGTGCTTAGGAATTTCTCTGCTTCTCCCTATCAGATTTTAAATTCTGATTTTTTTTTTTTCATTATACACTCACATTTCAATCTGTTTATGTTCGTACATAGGTTAGTTATTAGCTTCCAATAGACTTAGGTTTTTAATATTTTTCTGTGTCATGTTGTGACTGGCACTTAACGTTATAACTATAAAACGTACATGCATCGTTATTTTTCTTCAAACTCAATACATTTTGATGTGCTATTATTAGCTTTTTTTCAGAATCCGGCTAACAGACAAAAACAGAAAATTTTATGGCATCATCACTTTATTCAAAAATACATCAAACACTTTGATAAAGGATCATGACGATTTACTACGAATTTGATACATTTTTAATTTAAAATTTAAATAACGAATTTAGGAATTTGGTTCTTTTAAGTTCTCATTTCTGTTACTTTCATTATTATCGTGAATATTCCAAAATGTATTGTTCTCAAGGCATACATAATAAATAATATGATGTATAACTGTATCTGTATAATCTAACATTCATATTTACTACTGAAATAAGGATCATCATGTTCAGTGGGAGTGAGGTCTATTTTCTTCTTGAAAAATAAATAAAAATAAAGTAAAGTATAACATTGTGCCATTCAAATTTAGTTGTCATGTATTTGATTTCATATATTTTATAAAATACACCTTTCAATATCGGAACATCATAATTTGGAAATTTAATATTATTAAATAAAAAACAAAAACGTGATGTTTAAATTATAATTATAATGATATTGAAGTCAATCTAAATTATGCAGTAAGTTACACTGCGAAAATATGTCTCTTAAAATTTTAAACTTTTAATTCTGCTAAAAGATTTTTAAAAAGTGTAAAATGAAAAGAAAATTACTGAAGTTAGAAAATGTTTTTATTTATAAACCTTTACCTCATTATCCAAGCACGACCACTGTTTTTTTTTTGCTTTGCCTTGAAAAATTTCGTTCACAAATCCATACAGAATATCCACTTCATAATTTCATATTATAAGGTTATGGTTGAAATAGAATTTTAAATTGTTATTCTATTTCCCTAGACATTCATTGTTTTTAGCATAAGAGGCGAAATTGTTTTTTTTTTTTGTAAATAGATTCTGGTGAAATCGAATTTGACGATAACTGAGGTGGTTAGAATCTCTTGTTGATTAATATTATATTACATTAATAAATTCAATAGGTACACTATTATATTTTAATATAAGTACATATAGTATTTGTATACAAATTCGAAGTCACTACCCTCTAAAAACTATAAACTAAAAATTAAAATCAACATTCATAATATATTATATTTTATACAATATGATTTCAAATCCAAGCTTATAATATAACATACAATTTGAATTATACCATTAAAATAAGACATTTCATAACTCACCTATATTTATATTTATAGTATTTATGTAGAATATTAGAATTTTTAGTTCTATAATTGACTAAATGTTATAATTTAGATAAGATAGAACTCGATGTATTTAAAATATTAGTACTTTGTTAAAAACAATTATTTTCAAACACTATTAACTATTATTATCACAACTATTTAAAACCATATCTGTCGCTCAGCACTACAACTCTAACATTAGTCATAACTCAGTTGGTGTAATTGTTTGGCCAACTTTAAGCAACGGTTTAATAATTAGCATCTCAGTAATAAAGTGAGTTTGTTTCTTATATTTTAGTTAAACGTATTTAAACGTCCTGTTGGTTAATCACTTTAAACTAAGTAAGTTGTGAGACGACAGAGTAAGCAAGGACCCGTTGAGTTTGTGAGAAATGTACGCGTACATTTTCTGTACTGAATACCACATCAACTGCGTTCTACAACAACATTAAACCAATGAATAATAAAAAATAAGCCGGAGAACTCGTTTTTGCTGTATATTATGTAACTGAAATACTCGACATAAATAGATAATATATTAATTTTTGAATTCACTAATAAACCATTTGATACTGAAAAACCAATTATGAGCAAAGAGACGAATAAACTAATGTTACTAATGATTAGTTAGCAGCCGTTTAGAATTATATTGCAATTTAATTGAGTAGAATAATGTAATATGTATTGAGAAAACATTGCAAGTCTCTGCAATTAATATTTTCAGAATAATAACCAAATATTCTAAATTGTGTGAGAAAAAATGTTTTTTTTTTNGTGAGAAAAAATGTTTTTTTTTTTTAAATTTAAATATCCAACAAATCTAGACTTTATGCATATTTATATTTTTTAACTACCGTAAGAATAAATTATCAGGAACCATAATATGTACTTTTGTTTCCAATCTTTTTGATCAAACAATAAAATGTATCGATAGTATGTAATGTAACTATAAAATGTATATAAAATAAAAAAAATATATAATAAAATATAAACATAATATACACTTTATACAAATAGATTAAGTACCAAAATATTCTGAAACTTAAATTAAATCTTGAGAATGCTAAACTAAGTATTTTATAAAATTGGAACAAATGAACAATTCCTGGGGTTTTTTTTTAATCATTACAATACATAAAACTTGGGAAAGTGGGTACAGTCCTGCTGTACAGTAGGTTACAAGTGGGAATAGCGTTAAATCTAAATTCAATGATATAATATTATCATTATGTACAAAAAAACAATTCTGAACGGAGATGGATTGTCAGTCATCATATATTATAATGATTGTTTTAAATTACAGCAAAATACCTACGATCGTTATCCTTCGGTTATCTTTGGTAACTACAAAATAATTTTGTACATTTTAAAATTGAAATACTTCGGACTAGGTGTGCTTGATTCTTTTTAACTTGGTATTATCATTTAATCTTTAAGGAATCTTCCATTAATTTTTCAAGCTTTTTGGTCTAACCAAAAAAATAGTTATGCGTAGAAATTCTTGTTTTTCCTTAATTTATTTTTCTTTTTTCTTGACACTTTTGAAAACTCTTTAGAGTTTTCTATTTCGACTTCATTAAAATACCAACTAGATGCACATTCACACCATGAAAAATACTGAAGTTGAAAATCAAAGAATTTTTTCGACTTCTTGACTACAATATCATGTATACACAATATAATATACATACACAAAAAACGCACACACATTATTGTAAAATCAATACATTCATTGCTCTTCTCAGAATCCAAAATAAATTCAATTTTTTCCAAATCTAGTGTTGAGTAAATCTTCCAATTTTGATCTTTTCTGTATTTTTTTTTTCTTGATTTTTATGATTTTCTTCATAAAGTACCAACTAGATCATTTATTCTCTCAAAAACAATTCACAATGGAAAACATTTGATGAAATTTACTGCTCCAACACGTGATGACAGACAATCAAACATAATCATTGTGAAACCTTTATGCTTAGCAGCTAAGAGCTGCTCAAAACTAACAAACTCAAGACAAACAAAACAATCGACCTCCACTAAACTAAAACCATGTTACAGCATTAATATCTCTTCCATGTTCACAATTCATGTTTGTTTCTTCAAAAACGAAGAGAACCGTGGTTACTCGCATAGTATGGTGGCACTCTGTAATAGATGAACCCTGGCCAACTACTTATATATATATATATATGTTGGTTTTTCGTCCCAAAAACAAATTAAATAAATAAATAAACCTATGAACTATTTGAGTAATAATTAATCCAATAATTAAAACCTTCCCAGAGGCTATGATCTAAATTATATAAGTACTGTACTCTTGAACATGAAATATGTAGCTTTAATTTATCATATATTACCTTACCACCTCTCACTCACTAACAATTCATATTTTAAAATAGCATACAACTGCCAACCAAACACTGGTCTGGTGCCTGATTGTTTAGAGTTGCATCATCAGATAAGGAAAATAAATATTCAAATGTCTAGAAATTTGATACAAAGTTGATTTTATTAAAATTAAAATTAAATTATAGAAAGACTATTCCTAAGATTATTCAGAGAGGAGGTTACCAAATTGAATATTTTTTCAGAATTGAATACGGTTCATTTGAAATCCTGCATATTTTGTTGTCTGGTTTTTATCAAAAAAAATACACCATTTCCAATGTCCAATATCCTTAAGAGTTATGTTAATTGTTAATAACCACCAATGAAATACAGTGAAAATGTAAAAGTTTATTTTAACTTCAAATTGTAAGTACTTATGTATTTTGATATGTATACTCGTTGGTTTTGGAGTTTTTTTTCGTGCAATAATTAAATTAAAATATACGAGTGCAATTTAAAATTAGCAAGAAAAATAACCAAAATTTTCATTATGCTAGTCACTGCACGGCACTCAAAATTTCGTATTTCACAGGGTCTGCGTCGTACTGTTGTACGTGATTTTAGTCCCTGATCCCGGCGGGGATGAAAATTATTAATATTGTATAATATTCGTAAAGATATCGGCCGGTGCGTTTATAACTGTACCGCGGCGTGCGCCGGTCCGGTGCGCGCCGTCAAATAAGTACGGCGAAGGCGTATGCCCCGGAACGTAGCGCGTTGCGGTTTCAGTTGCTAAAAAGCCACCACCGCCGACACGGGTCGTGTGAACGTTGCCACTGCCGCCGCCGTAGTCGCCGTAGGTATATAGTTCCCCTCGAAACGTGTCAGCTGACAATTTAATATTGCGAGAGTCGCCACAACGATGAACAAGTAGTGACAGCCGAATGAATACAATTTTAAAATTTCCAAGCTCGTCCGTGTGTCGGTCAGTGTCGTATACGTCTTGTATACCGTTACCACATATTAGGTACCCACTATATGACGTATAGTAACCGCGGTCGTCGTGTTCGGTGTGCGTTTCCGGTGATTAGTGTGTGATGTGTAATAATTATTGTATTGTTAACCATTGACGATCCCGACGGGACCTGCGGCACATGATACAGCGGTAAGACACCGTTGAGACGCTAGCCGAAGACGATTGGACAGCACGACTTGCACCAATACCTATTGTAGTAGACGACACGGTAAACAAATTTACTATTTTGATTAATATTTTTTCCATGCATGTGGAATTTTCGTTTTTTTCACTAGGTCCGACGACTGTGTAGTGGAAATAATATCATAGAATATGAACGTATGTATTTATATATTTTACGTCGGTCCTCAAAGTCTGTGATATGGTTTTGTAGAAACACAGCATAAAGTGTTTTGTTGACGACAACCGCTCAACTGAAATGATATTACTGGTGCCTTGTCATGTTTGTATTTTTTATTACGATATCCGTGTCAATCAGTGTATACCTTTGTGATATACGTTTCAAGAGTAAGCAAGCAATGTGAAAAAATCTCTTGCTTAGAGTGAATTCATTAACTAGAGTTTGTTTGTGTAAACCATAAAAATAAATGCACAATGAACGTGTTACAGCTTTGGCATTTCTATATGTCTGTGCATTAACGTTCTCTTTTTACACACAATGTGTTTATTATAAACAAACACTGAAAAACACTAACCTCACCTGTTTATAAAATTTTACTCTATGGTCTTACATACAATTCATATGATGAAAACTTTGAACGTAAGCAATACAACTTTATGTAATACGGAATTCTAGAATGTCTAATAAAAGCACTACGCTATTTTATAAGTTTCTGCTAACAAAAGTTCCATGAGATTTGGTCTTAAATAGGTAACAACTTGAGAAACGTTATTTTGATTATCATAGGTTAGTTATTTTATAATCTCATGTCTTATGTAACACGTTTTACAACTTAAAATTATTGGTTTTTACACACCTTGTACTGAGTTTATTTATAAATTATTTGTTAGTTAAGTTTTATGGGTAGATAGGTAATTATTTCATGTGAAGAAAAAATCTTTAACGTGATGAAATATTAGTTTTATAATATTATAAAAATTATTGAAACCTCATAACATTATTGGTTTGTACTGCGTTTTTCATTAACCAGCTCAATAAGTCTAATTTTAATTATTTACTTTACCTTTTGATTTAAAACTAATTAAAACATATTACATAAATTTAAATACATTCAGAATATTTTCAATGAATCAAACTATACTAGGTCCACAAAATATATGGTGGACAGAACGTTTTTGCTTAAAGTTATTTTTTATATCCAATGATTCATCACTTTTATTACAGTGAAATACTCAATAATGAGGTACGTTGGATATAAAATAATACGTAATGTTACCCGATTTTTGAAATCAAATATCAATAATTTAAACTTTACAGAGAGCAATAAATGACAAGTTTGGGGATAAAGATGTCTTAAAAAAATCATCAACATTGGTTTCATATAATAATATTAATCTGGATATATATTGTGTTTGAAATTTAAATACATATTGTAATAAAAATTTTAATTTAAATTTGAAAGTAACTCCAATTTTAAATGTCAACTCTTGTTAATCAGTTGTAAAATTAAAAAGTATATTCAAAATTATAAAAGTAAATAAAACTACTTAAATCAATATAAAAGTTTTTCGGAAGACATTGTACAATTTGACACCATTTTATGACGGTAAATATTGCGGGTAACGAAAATGTGCTGGTCATGCAGCTATATTCGCATAATATATGCAGGCGGTATAATTTAAGGTGAAACAAATAAAAAAGAAAAACTGTTGTATTTTAAGTTATGATCAAGGAGGTTGTATAAATAATAGATAAAAAATATTTAAAGAAATATTAATTATTGTATAATTCCAAATTTCCAAACACTTAGAGGTCCCCAATCAATATGAACAATATAAGTGAAACCATTTAGTAAAGACAATAGAACTTTATGGATATTATACAGTAGTGAAATGACGAAGAAAAAAATAATAATAATTCTAATTTAAAGACAATTTTAATTATTTCCAAATTTTTTAAATGATCAAATTGATAAAGTCGATTTTCTGACCTACCTACTAAAGTATTTGGTATATTGATTTAGCAAATTCTTTTTTATAAAATATATAAATTATGTATACAATGCGGTGTAAATAACATAGTCAGGTGTAGTACTATAAAGTACCTACGTATTTAAATTTGAACCTCATTGACCTTGGTTAAAATTGTAAATCATGAAAAATTAGTAAAAAACTACATTATTTTTCTGTGAGCAATAATTGTAAAACAGTAAAAATTATCTAAATGTTTTACGTAGAGTTTCCAAATTGTATTTAATCAACTAATAATATTGAAGAACCACTAGTATGATATTACAATACTATTATATTGGTATTATAATACTTTACGATGTATTTATTACTTTATTTAAAACACATGCCAATTAATAGAATAATCATTTCTGTAAAATGAATACATTTTAAAGTAACATATGTTTTGATATTATATATTTCTATGAAAATAATATTATGTTTCACTTTTGTTTTTTAAAAAATGCATACAAATTTAAAAAAAATCTTTGGACATTTTTTTAATATAAAGCAGTTTCGAATTCAGTGTATTGAATTAATATTTGTGTACACAATCGCTTGCATTTTTGAATTGATTCATCAATTTTGATGAAATGTTCAATGGTGTTGTAGGGAGTATTGATATTGTATCGTTATGATATAACTTATAAGTACTTATCTCATATGCACCTGAGTGTATAAAATATACGATACAAAAATGAAATTCATGTTTTAATTGTGAGATGAACGATCAAAGAGTTTTTGAAAGTATTGATGAACGATAATGCACCTACAGTATCATCACACTGTGTGTCTATGTTAGATCATAATATTTGTTTGTACCTGTATTATAAATGTATAAACTATGCATTTCGAGTATGGGAGCATACACTCATGTGTAGATACCGTGGTTGCTTCACATAGACCCAGACAAGAAACATACACACTCGCCTTTGGTGATTTAATAAACTATAGTAGTGATATGAGATACATTCTCTTTGGTATATACTATATATGATGTATGAGTGCGTGACATCACATCCTCGTGTCCGGTAATCTATCTGCATTTCTGAATGTGCACTATTACCACTATGTAATGTCAACAACACAAAAAATCTACAACACATAGTGTCTTGGGTAAATTTCCGTCTCACACGATACCCCCGAACAAATTTATCACTCCAACAAATCTAACCAATAATTATTTTGGACAAAAACAATTTATTATAATAAAGTGACCGATAAAGAATAATTATGAAAAAAATTGATCAAAATTTACTTGTTGATAAAATAACTAAGATTTGATGGTTGAAATTTCAATAGTATTATATCTACAACAGTTAACATGAAAAATAAAACAGACATTAACATTGTTATTATTATTCATTTATTCAAAATATTCTATTATTATATAGATGCGTATTGTAAACAAATTTAGGTGATTATAGTAAAGTATTCAAAACAAAAATAGCATGGTATTAATATGAATAGACTAAACTCAAAGTAACCAACTACCTTATGTACCTACTGAAGTTTTGAACTTTGCGTAATCGCAAGTTGAGTCTACGGCTGTGTATAAGATGGCGCAGCAGCCGTTACCCATAATTGTATATAAAGGCATATCACTACATCTGTCGAACCCGGGAAGACACATAGGTTTAGGGATAAGAAAAAATTCTGAATTGTGTCCTATATTATTCTGATATTATTATATAATATATTATTACTTATTGATATTATGTTGTTATCTAAACTTAACACATCATGTCAGATGGGAAAAATGTACTTTATTTTAAATGGTAAGTTTTATAAGAATTTTAATAGAATAATAGAATTTTCCCATCACACTCAACAATTACAAAAAAAATTAAAATGACACACTACTTAAATCACGTGTTAATTAATCTCTTTCAATTTTTATAATTGCCTAATTTGAAAACCATTAATTATGTGACATGTAGAGCATAGCTATGTAAATATTTTAGCACTAAAAATTATCATTGAGATAATAGCATTTCCGAGATCACGGGTACGTATATTATACACAATGAATGCAACACTAAGTAGTTAATTATAATGCGGAAATGAGATGTTAGTATGTTACAATGATATTAACAGAACATTTTCTATTAAATGATTAGGATATTTGGACTTAAACATTTTTTAGCATTTCCAGCATTTCCGCTTTTAAGTTATTGACAACAATATTCATTGCATCTTAAAAACGGTAGATTCTAATTGAAATGGTGGGAGCTCCAGTCACTTCTCGGCCCCCTTAGCTATGTAACTAAGCTTTCGGCAATAATTGACGTTGGACTTTTAGTGACGAAATAGTACTTATGTATAATAATTAATCGTCAATTAGAGTAGTATTAAATATAATATCTGATTTAAATTGAAAAAAAGTTGTATTATATTTATATTTTCTTTTAAGTGTTTTTTTTTCAATTATTATTATTAATTTTCTTTTAGAAATGAGTATCTCATTGATCATAATTATATGTTAGGACATTTTATTTATTTATCCATCTTGGGTGATTGTATGTATACTTAAATAAACATACAATTATACTCTAAATTGTACTTTCACACTCAATATATCATCTAAATTATAACTAAAAATTATTCATCTTGGCACAATTATAGTTGTAATATAGCATATAACTATCTAAGTATAAAACGTTCTCGTAATTAATTTATTTATTTTACTTGTTGAAATGAATTCTTTCTGTACAATAAGTGTGTAATTTAGGAAAACAAAATGTACAACCAATTAAATTTTCCAAGTGACCTGGCCAAAAACAGTGACTTTAAGTTAACAAAACAATGCTCTACGAATTTCAAGTATGAAATAATTATAAATGTCTTAATAATAATATATTTTTTTTGTGTAATTTATCGAAATTAATAAAAACAAATGTTAACTTATACATTCTGATATTAAATAAAAATTGTTGAACTTAAATTATTGACTATTCAAAATGTAGAATGATAATTTTATTATAATTAATTACAATAATTCTATCTCCATACATGTTTTTTATTAGAAAAATACAAATATTAAGGTTTTACTTTAAAGAATTATTTATTATTAATCAA